CTGTGCTTGTGCTGCTGGTCACTCCTCTGGTTTATTGCTTCTTTTATTATTATAGCATTCATGAACTGCTTTGGATGACCACATCACTAAATCAATAGGCTACATGTACTTATACTAGGGCTGCACAATTCATAGAAAAAACTCTGTTATGATCAGCATAATTAATTGTGAAAAGCATTGAATGCAGTGGTTAGTTTAGATCTACTCATCTTATGTCAAAGGCTTTTATTCACAAAGTGTTTTGCAGCACTGCATGTTGAGTGCATTAATGCAGTGACCAATCCTTTACAGGGGTCATGAAATGGAAAATCAAAATGTCCTTGATATTTATTTCAGGTTACATACTGCAAGTTTCACACCTCAAAGCTAACTCTCCAGGTTAAAATATGAGTTTGTGAGGATGATTTTCCTCTAGACGTCCCTTCACATGTGTATAAAACTCTTAACAAGAGTGATGCTGCTGCGGAGTAAAAACCGCCCAATGTTGTTCTGTCCCTATATACAGACAAACCTCCAAAAACTGCATATCCAATTAGAAGTGCATGCAGTTTATTTTAACGATGTGCCTAAGCAAATGAACAAGAATGTTAATCTCAACATGCTGCCATTTTTTTCTAAATATCAATTAATTATAGCAGGCCTAAAGTTATAATAATAGTTTTAGAACTAAAAGATCATATTTTCAGATAGTCATTCTCTTCTGCCTCAGGCTCAAATACAAGCGGCTCTTTCTCGAACATCAAACACACATCACACATGCTGTGAGGGAAAACAGTGATGAAGTTCACCAATTACAGCAGCGGATTTTAACTTCAGCTTTTGAAAGGGGAGATTCCACCTGAAATGTGGCGTTTGCAGGGAGTGAAAATGAGGATGCAAAATGATAATTTTTACAAATATTTAAAGTTGTTTGATGCAAATAACTTTGCTTAGTTCATAAGCTAACCTCTCGAAACAATGTAAAGATCTTCAAATGCATTTATAACCCCTTTAATGCTCAAATCACAAGAGTTTTGCTCAACATGAGCTCAGTGACTGTCTGCAAAATGAGGTTCAGTTTTACTTAAAGCAGCAACCTTCAACATCTCACCATAAACCCAGAGGAACCATCTGCCAACAGAATAAAGAATACAAAGACAAATCTCATCCAACTCTTCAGGGCTAATGCTGATGTAACGCTTTAACCCTATGTGTTCAGTTCAGAATAAATCATTCAGTAACGCACTGATGTCCATGAGATCTTAATCACTTCACTCTCTGTGCTCCTACAAACATGGAGAAATGTCCACATCACTTCATTCAGTCACCCTGGATTGATTTTTAAGACTCTCCTTAAATGAAATGGAAGGAATTCACTTTCAACTCTAGGTGCAGTTGGCATGTGAAATTCCTCTTAAGTGAAAGACACTGAGGAAACGAGATCAGAGCAGTTCAGAGCGATCCAGCTGCTGTTATTTCAACCCAATCTTCCCGAGCTGCCATGACTCGATTATTGAAATTAAACCGTTTGCGTTCTCTGGCTACCATTATTAAAACTGCGGTTCTTCATTTCATTCAAAGGTTTTGTTTCTCTCAAATATTGAGCAGCAATTGCTAAACTGTGACCCTAAAAACCAAGAAGAACCAACCCAAATATATTTGTCTTAGATATTCTCTCATGGATTCTGTCATCTTTTACTCAGCCTCACTTCATTCCAAACCTCTGCCATGTTCTTTCTTCTGATTCTATGACTGATAGTGCCGGTCGCTCTTCCAAGCAATTATGGCAAACAAAGGGACTCTGAAGCTTTCATGCAAAAGCATCTTAAAAGTACCTTAACATATGGCTCTGTAGTCACACAAACCCAACTGATAACCTCAGCATCAGCCCAAACTCCCTGTGTGTTGGTCAGATTTCACATGAGAAGACAAAGCTGTAGGCTTCCGTTGGCCTTGCATGGAAAAGTGACATTTTCGTCTTTTAATGTTCATGGCAAGGAAAGTCATTACAGTTTAAAACAGCACACAGGTTAGTAAATGATGAAAGAATATTCACTTTTGGGTGAACTGATTCTTTAAAGTTTTGCTTTCATGTTTGTAGGCCCCGTGTAAATCTTCTCTAAGCGCATTAGGCCTCTTAAGAAGACAACAGCCTCAGTTTTTTACCAAAATGCAGAACGCACACCTCCGTCACTAGACCGTCTCATCAGATGTGTCTGAAGTCTCGTCACGTACTGCTAATCAGCGTCAGTGATGATCTGGATGATGTGAACGGAGGAGGATCTGCTCACTTTAGCGTTCAGCTCGTTTTAGAGACACTTCTGATCGCTACGCTCGCGTTAGCTCGTTTTAAGATCTCTTTACCTGGGGCGGCGAGAGAGAGAAATGCCGGTTAGGGTGGTTAGAGGAGAGGGATTATAGTCAGATCAGCGGCGCTGCTAACAGGCGGCAGCGATCTCTGGGTGTCGGGGTCGAGCCGCTGTCACGGCAGGTGAGGAGGTCACGTCTGGAGCATCACGGCTCCTTCAGCTGAGCTCTGGATCAGTGTTCAAAGACAAAAAGAGCTTTTTAAGCTGATCTCCCACTTTAAAGAGCTGACAGGAACTAAACTAACAGTTAAAGGTTGAGAAATGTTAAAACACAGCCGTGCTGAATACAGTAAACTCACGTAGAATGATATACAATCCAGCAAATCTCAGCAGCTTGATTGCTTGTATAGTAACAATGTAAACCATATTATTACTCATCTCTAATCATACTAAGGAATGAAGATATTATAATCATTACAATCATGATTTTCTGCTTTGAAACTATGTGTGAAAAGTGCTTCTCCAGTAAATTTGACTTGACAAACACAAAGATCCTGCAGAGATCAGGCCAGTGAAGAATAGGATCTTAATTTGGGATAAAAGCATTTAATGGCAACATGAATGCATTCAGACTCCTGACAGACGTCTGCCAGATGAAGCTGCAGCACATCTGAGGAAAAGACCCGAAGCATTCCCTCTCAACCACACAAAACTCTCCTACTACAAGGACAAAAACTACTAGTTAAACACAAGGAAAATGTATTTAACACCAGCTTTTGGTTTGGAAAGAGAGATACTCAGATCTGAAAGGTTGTGAATCTCTTCTACTTCACTGCAGCCATTTTTACTTTTACAAGTGATAATCCAATTGCAACACCCTATTATGTGTGCAAGCATTATTTCAAGTTTAATTGACTTGTTTTCACAGACAGTTCTAAAGCAGCTTTACAGAAAACAGTGACTTATAAGCCTCAGTGTTCAAGAGAGAAGACCGAGCAGCGAAAGAAAAATCTCTGAAATCTCTTTTCTGAAAAAAATAAAGAATCAAATGCTGAAAATATAGGGCAGCCTATTAGAAAGATCATCATAAGCTAGAAATATTTGTGTTTGTGAGTAAAGCTGAAGTGTGCTGAAGGTTGGCGTTTCCTCAGATGTGTTTGGTGCTGCTAAATCTCAGAGAACACAGGGTCACTCACACGCTTACAGAAGCAGATCAACCTGACACACACACACGCACACACGGAAGACCGAGCAGCGAAAGAAAAATCTCTGAAATCTCTTTTCTGAAAAAAATAAAGAATCAAATGCTGAAAATATAGGGCAGCCTATTAGAAAGATCATCATAAGCTAGAAATATTTGTGTTTGTGAGTAAAGCTGAAGTGTGCTGAAGGTTGGCGTTTCCTCGGATGTGTTTGGTGCTGCTAAATCTCAGAGAACACAGGGTCACTCACACGCTTACAGAAGCAGATCAACCTGACACACACACACACACACACACACGCGCACACACACACTGCAGCTCTGAACACAGCCATCTATAACCTACTGATCAATCACAAAGTCAATATATAATTTGCATACTAATAACATGTCATGGGAAACCACAAAGCAAGAGTATCAGTGCAAACATGCATGTCTCTCTGTGTGTGTGTGTGCACGTCTCTCTGTGTGTGTGTGTGCACGTGTCTGTGTGTGTGTGTGTGCATGTCTCTCTGTGTGTGTGTGTGTGTTGTTCAGAGACGTTGTCTCGCACCCCAGCGTAGGAGCTGCGCGCGCTGAAATCACCCTCACTACACATGAACTCATGGACTCACTGTGAAATCAGACAGAACGCGCTGGTCCTTTGATTTCAGCCCATTTAAATGAACATAATACAGGCAAGAGAGAACGAAACGACACAAGAACGACTGTCAACGCCTACAATCACACTATCGTGTGTGTGTGTGTGTGTGTCAGACGGAACAGTCTAGAGATCGTGGATGGAAACACTGTGTTTAACATGTCTCGACACTACGGCAGCTCCTGAAATAGCATGTCAAATGTGTGACATGAGTGATCGATGCTCTGATCATTAGAGTCTCTTCAGCGAACATTCATCAATCACAGTCACTTCCCTTCACGCGCATCCTCCGGTCCTCTGCTTTAAACAGCATCGTGTTTCCAAACCCCGAAACACGCTGGAGACTTAGATCAAACCTGACATGATCCGAAACAAGAGATCACCTCCTCCAACCCTCTCAGAGACACACACACACACACACACACACACACACACACACACACACACACACACACACACACACACACACACACACAGACACAGAGAGAGAGCGTGTGTGTGTGTGTGTGTGTCAGACGGAACAGTCTAGAGATCGTGGATGGAAACACTGTGTTTAACATGTCTCGACACTACGGCAGCTCCTGAAATAGCATGTCAAATGTGTGACATGAGTGATCGATGCTCTGATCATTAGAGTCTCTTCAGCGAACATTCATCAATCACAGTCACTTCCCTTCACGCGCATCCTCCGGTTTCCAAACCCCGAAACACGCTGGAGACTTAGATCAAACCTGACATGATCCGAAACAAGAGATCAAACCCTCTAACCCTCTCAGAGACAGACACACACACACACACACACACACACACACACACACAGAGAGAGAGAGAGAGAGAGAGAGAGAGAGAGAGAGATCAATCAGCTCTTTACCTTCGCAATGCTCTCCCTGCGTCTCCGTCTCTTCTTCTTCCCAAATCCCTTCGCTTTTCACTGGAACCTCAGTACGGAGTATTGTCCAGTATCCGTGAGAGCGCAACGCGTCTGGATCCTGCGCGTCTTCCGAAGGGAGCTGCTGAGCGCCGCGTCACCTGCGTCCTCACATCAGCAGCGCGCGCACAGAGACACGCCCCGCACCGCGGGCGGAGCCGAGCTGCAGTCAGAGCGACGCGACGCGACGCGACGCGCGGTACAGATCGGCGTTCTTCTCCACAAAGAAGCGCTAGAAACACCCCTCACGGAAAGGAGATTTTAGCGCTGACGAAGGACGCGTTTAGATCCTCCTACAGCCCATATTGAGCGGTTTCAACTCAAACGAGCTGCTGGACCGAGTCCAGATGAGCGCGCGTCACCAAATCACCAGCTGCTGCCAAATACAAGTCTCACATTACTACACATCACTGAAGTAAACGACACTATACAGTCAACATTACTGTATACAGCCACATAGAACTAATGACTTGCATGAAGAGCTGGAACGCGTGCATTCCTAAACACACTTCAGTGCTGTAAGCATGGTGTTCCCTTTCATGGGAACTTCGAACTGCGTCCTCTAGGGGTCGCTATGGGGAACGCCTCGTCGTGACCCGTGTCTGAAGCATACATTGAGGCTGTCTCATTTCAGAAAAGCAAGTAGGACACTGCGACCTTCTTTCACAGGAATTCGGAGGATGCATGAGGTGTATCCTTCGCTGCTACAGATAACCCACAATTCTTTGCGTCGCCGTGAACAACCGTTGTTAATTTGAAAAATGCCGGCGCCGGCAGATGTAACGTACACACAAGCGCAGATGTGGTGTTTACAACTTACCTTAATTCGCCTCGGTAAAAACAGAAACTTTGTTTTTTTAATAACCTCCTCCTTTTTTTCTCTAATAGATGCCTGCTGTATGTATGCTGCAGCTCCTCAAACATTGAACAAAATAAAACAAGTAAAACCATTTTTTAAAAAATTACTTTCCAAATTTAGAAATAATTTTCCTTCATTTAAGTAGTGTGAGAGCGCAACGATGCTCTAAATGTGTTGGCATAGCAACGCGATACTTCCGGTTTCCTTTTCCGCCCGTCCTACGAAGGCCGTCTCGTTTAATACTAGGTTGAGGACACTTTGTATATGCATCCTACAGAGGATGCGACCTCCAGAGGGTGCAGCCTTCTAAATGAGACA